CAGCAACAGAAAGCTAATTAAAACAAAGCTAATCTCTTTCCCTTAACCCTCATGCTTAAGTCTGTATTAGAATCTTTATTAAACCCCAACTCTGCTTCATTAAAAAGAGTCAGTCCATCCCCCAGCAACCATTACCTGCTTATAAAACAGCAGGGAGTGATAGGCCTCCTGAGCCCCAACGACCTCTAAGACAGACCGTTGATCTTCTCAATCTTGTGACTGTCTTGAGAATAATCACCGCTACTGGGCGTTTAAGCATGCCCGTGGTGGAGCCCCATGTGGTGGCGCACGCCTGTAATCCCAGTACTCAAGGCAGAGGCAGGCAGATCTCTGGGAGTTTGAGGCCAGCCAGGGCTACAGGAAGACCCTATCTTTAAAAAAATTTTAAAAAGCTGGGCATGGTGGTGCATGCCTTTAATCCCAGCACTCGGGAGGCAGAGGCAGGTGGATCTCTGTGAGTTCAAGGCCAGCCTGATTGACATAATTGGTTCCAGACCAGCCAGAGCTACAGAGACCCTGCCTCAAAATAAACAAAACCCCCAAACAAATAAATGCAGAAACAATAAATAAAATCTATATAATTTTCACATCAAGAAATAATCTGGTTCCCCCATCCCATCCCACCCCAACGGCTACCCTGAGAACTGCCAAGGCAACCTAGACCAATTTCTACCCTACCCTACTCTTTTATAAATTAGTTGGGGGGGCACAAACATTGGAAGGCATGCATGTGGAAATCAGAGGACAACCTTTCAGAAATCTACTCTCCTTTCATTGTGGATTCTGGGGATCAAACTCCTCATCAGGCTTGTATGGCTAGCACTGTCATCCAACAAGCAAACTCTTGTTTATCCAACCCCTTCTCATTCTCCCTCCACCAGGGTCTCTGGTAGTACAGGCTAGCCTCAAATGCACTATTGCTGAGGATAACACTGAGCTCCTGAGTGCTAAGCTTACAGATGTGCACCACTATGCCTGCCTTATAGAGTGCTGGGAATGGAGCCAGTGCTTCATGCATTCTAGGCAAGCACTCTACTAAACTTCACCACATCCCTAGCCCCCTTATGTACCTTTGAGGGTATGATGCCTTTAGGTCAGTTCTTTAAGTTCTAGCTTGTTTCTCCATTTACTGTGACAAAACACTCTGAACAATACCAACTTGAGGAGAAAGGCTTACATATCCTGGGTCACAGTTCATCACTGAGAGAGCCCAAGGTAGGAACGCAGGGCAGGAACTTGGAGGCAGGAGCTGGAGCACAGGACAGGGAGGAACACTGCTTCTGGCTTGCTCTCCTGGCCCCTGCTCAGCCCGCCTTCTTATACAACGGGCCCGCCTGCCCAGGGGTGGCAGCAATGGAGGTAATTCCCCAGTTGAGACTCCTTCAACCCAGATGTGTCAAGTTGACACTAAAAGCTATGCAGCACAGTGGGCTTATCAACACTGGTTGATTCTGGGGCTGGAGAGATGGCTCAGCGCTTAAGAGCACTGGCTGATCTTGCAGAGGACCTGAGTTCAGTTCCCAGTACCTACATGGTGGCTAACAACCATCTGCAGCTCCAGTTCCAGTAGATCTGACACCCTCTTTTGGCCTCTGCAGGCACTGTATGGTATGGATGCACTTACATATATGTAGGCCATACACTCATACACATAAATAAAAAATATTTTAAAAACCTGAGACTTAGTCGGGTGTGGTGGTACATGCCTTTAATCTTAGCACTTGTAAGGCAGAGGCAGGCAGATCTCTATGAGTTCAAGGCCACCCTGGTCTACATAGTGAGTTCCAGGTCAGCTGCGGCTACAGGGAGACCCTGTCTCAAAAAGACCAAAAACAAACAAACTGGTTGAATCTAAGAAGCCTGCCAGAGTTGAGGACTAGACTACTTTCCCATCCCATCTGCCTGCTAAATGACAAGCCCGCCCCTGTCATGAGAGCTGACAAATGCCATGGCATGAACTGGAAAGAACATAAAAGGAATTCTTAAAGAGGCAGCACCGAATCTGCCCACTCCCACACGACATAAATATTCCTCCTTTGTTAGCCTGCCTTCCTTTCTCTTTTTTAACTTTCTTCTGGACACAGGGTCTCACATTGTAGCCCAGGCTGAGTTCTAACTGGGAACCTCTTGCCTCAGCCTCCCAAGTGCTGGGATTACAGGCCTGAGCCACTAACAGACATGCCTCTTCCTTTTTTTTTTTTTTTTTTTTTTTTTTTTTTAAAAAAAAACCTCTTTATCCTCCATGCTCCAGAGTGTCAAAAAGATCACCTATTCTGGGGGAAGAACAGAAGTTTCTTCATTGCTCAGCTGGTGGTGGTTTTTTTTTTCTGTTTTGTTTTTTGTGTTTTTTTTTCTGTCTTCTTGAGACAGGGTCTCCCTGTAGCCCCAGCTGACCTGAACACACTATGTAGACCAGGCTGGCCTTGAACTCACAGTGATCCGCCTGCCTCTGCCTTCTGAGTGCTGGGACTAAAGGCGTGCGCCACCATGCCCGGCTGTGTTCAGCCTTTTTATCAGTTTCACAACTGGGAAGGGGATACAAGTGGAGCAAAACTGGCAGCACAATCTCTGAAAAACGGAAAACACTTGGGGCATGGAGATTTTTCAGCCTGTAAAGGTGACAAGCCTGACAGCCTGAGTTCAATTCCCTGAGGATCTGCATGTAGGAAAGAACCAACTCCTGCATGTTGTCCTTTGACCTCCGCACAAGTACTATGACATGCCACTCCTGCCCTTTTTTTTTTTTTTGAGACAGGGTCTCCCTGTAGCCCCAGCTGTCCTGGAACTATGTAGACCAGGCTGGCCTTGAACTCAGATAGACCTGCCTGCCTCTGCCTCCCAAGTGCTGGGATTAAAGGCGTGTGCCACCACACCTGGCAAGTAATGTCTTTTTATGTGGTCTGGATATAAAATGGCCTCAAAGGGTCAGTTGCCAGCTGATGGGACCTTGGGGGGAGTGACTGGATTACAAAGGCTGTCTTCACGAATGGATTAATCCATCAACACATTTATAATCTGATGTTATTCAGAGGTGCTTAAAAACTAGAAGGGTCTGGTTAGAGGAATTAGGAGGCAGAAGGCAGGACTTTGAAGGGGTATCTTGCTGTCAGTCCCAAGTTCACAGTCTTCAGACTCCTATGAGGTGAGCAGCTTTGCTTCCCTACATTTCCCACCCAGATGGGTGAAATCTCTGGTCACCAAAGCCAGTCATCTAAATTGTATTGCTTCACCATCGTGTCACAGCTGTGAAATGTGACTAACAGATTACTCTTATTTTACTGGCTGCTGGAAAACAAGCAGGAGGTTGCTCTGCTACAGGCCATCTGTTCTACAAGACAGTGCAAATATTCACCACAGACGTTTCCGATGATAGGAAATTACTTTTCTTCCCTTTTTTTTGTTTTTCAGAAACTTTCTACCTGCATAGTTCACTGTTCTGCCTGTTTCAATCTATTTCTGTAATGCATTTTCAGTCAGGTGTGTTCGGTGTGTTCTATATACTGCAATTTGCCTGCCCATCTCCTATATCTTGTTCAACATCTTTGGTTACTCGTAACTATTATTTCTCTTTTTTATTTTTGTTTTTTTCTTCTTGAGACAGGATCTTCCTGTAACCCCAGCTGGCCTGGAACTCACTATGTAGACCGGGGTGGCCTTGAACTCACAGAGATCCACATGCCTCGGCCTCCTAGCCTTGGTATTAAAGGCGTGCATCACCACGCCTGGCTGAGCACCCAGTGCTCTTAACCATTGAGCCATCTCTCCAGAGCCTAATGTGCTATTTTATTTTTTTAATGTGTATGAGTATTTCCTGCATATACGTACAGTGCACCCCTGTCGTGCAATGCCCTCAGAGGTCAGAAGAGGGCATCAGAAGAGCCTAATGTGCTATTTTATTTTTTTAAATTTTCATTTATTTATTTTTTAAATTTTATTATTTTTTAAAAATTTTATGTGTGCGTATTGCCTGCATATAGGTAAGTGCACCCGTGTCCTGCAATGCCCGGTGAGGCTGTCCGATCTCCTGAGACTGGAGACAGTTGTCAGCTGCCATGTGGGTGCTGGGATTCGAACCTGGGTCTTCTGCAAGAACAATCAGTGTTGTTAACCTCTGAGCCACCTCTCCAGCCCCATCATTTATTAATTTATTTTTATGGTTTTTTTCTTTTTTTTGGTCTTTTTGAGACAGGGTCTCCCTGTAGCTCCAGCTGTCTTGGAACCCACTATGTAGATCAGGCTGGCCTTGATCTCACAGAGATCCGCCTGCCTCCCGAATGCTGGGATTAAATGCGTATGCCACCACGCCCCGCCTTTTTTTTGTTCTTTCTGAGATAGGGTCTCCCTGTGGAGACCTGCCTGTGGAGAGATCTGCCTGCCTCTGCCTCCCAAGCTGGGACTACAGGCGTACGCCATCACGCCTGGCTATTTATTTTTTTTAACGTGTATGAGAATTTCCTGCATGTGTGTACATGCACCCCTGTCGTGCAATGCCCTCAGAGGTCAGAAGAGGGCATCAGACCTCCTGGAACACAAGTTATAGACAGTTGTTAGCAGCCATTTGGGTGCGGGTAACCGAACCTGGGTCCTCTGCAAGAGCAGTCATTCTCTTAACCGCTGAGCCATCTCTCCTGCTCCAACGTGCTATTTTTATAGAGATATATAAAACAAAGTTAGAAATCTTCCCGGCCTTCACGCTTAGACGCCCAAGTGCAAACATGGGAGGGATTCAAATCCCTTAGCTCCTCCCATGTCTCCAGCCTCCAAAATACCAGCTTCCCGCCGCTCCAGTTCTGCTCGCCCTGAAAGATGCCTCGCGCTGCCATCAGGAGGCGCCGGAGCGCGGCCCAAGTGCCGAGCCTGAACATGTGACCGGCGTCGCACCCGGTGGGCGTCACGTGACAGACTCGGCGTTCCTCCAATGGTTGTGCACGTGGTGGGGATTCCCTCCGAGGCCTGGCCCTAGGCCCACGGCTCTGCTTGCCCCTGCCCCACAGCCCAGTTCTCCGCTGCTAGCCGGGCACAGTGACTCTCAAGGCTCTTCCCTACCACGGTTTCAGGGCCCGGGCCTGCTGAACACTCCGCTTCGGAAGTGACGTTTCCCAGAGGGGCCGGAAGCGGCAGTGGAGGGAGGGAAGATGGCGGAGGTGGTGAGTCCGGTGCCCGGGGCGGGGCGGAGGGAGCCAGGGGAGGTGGGTAGAGCCCGAGGCCCCCCAGTAGCCGACCCTGGCGCCGCGCTGTCTCCCCAGGGGGAGATAATCGAGGGCTGCCGCCTGCCCGTGCTGCGGCGCAACCAGGACAACGAAGATGAGTGGCGTGAGTGACGTCGGAGGGCGGGGCCAAGGAACCTCGGGGCGAGGGACGGGATTCCGCGAACCACGGGAGGGGGAGGGGCCTCTGCAATCCTGTGGCGGGCGGGTGCAGACGCTCTGGAGGGGCGTGGCTTTTAGTCCTACCCAGATGGACCAGGCGGAGCTTGGAGAGAGGTGTCACTTGGTGACTGAAGGGGTAGTGAGCTTGAGCTTGTAGGTGCTGGGGCATGGAGATCCGGCCTGGGGGTGGGGCTCAGGTCGAAGGGTGGAGTCTCATGACCTGGCCTGGCTAAGACCAGTCTGTGTTGTTCCTATAGCCCTGGCTGAGATCCTGAGCGTGAAGGACATCAGTGGCCGGAAGCTCTTCTATGTCCATTACATTGATTGTGAGTTCTGGGCCCGGGTTGAGGTGGGGTTGCAGGGTAGGGCTGGGGTCAGCCTCTGGCATTCCCTCCTGAGCCATTTCCACTGCTGCAGTCAACAAACGCCTGGATGAATGGGTGACCCACGAGCGGCTGGACTTAAAGAAGATTCAGTTTCCCAAGAAAGAGGCCAAGACTCCTACCAAGAACGGACTTCCTGGGTCCCGCCCCGGCTCTCCAGAGAGAGAGGTGGTGAGTAGGTCCCCCATTTCACCTTTTCTCTCCTGCCTCTTCTCTCATCTCTTGGCCTTAGGGGTTCCTGGATGGGCAGGAGGCGGCATTCTCCCACCTTGATGAACTCAAGGCTTGCAAATGAAGGGGCCAAATTGCAGATGTAGCTTCCAGAGTCCAGTGCCCTTGAGAAGGCAGAGGGTGGGGTCTCATCACTCCAAACTGAGGGGCCCCTCCTCCCCTTCGCCATTCCACCATCCCCACCCCAGAGGAAGACCCTGGACCTATCTCTACAGCCGGCCTCCGCCCAGGCCAGCGGGAAGACCTTGCCAATCCCGGTCCAGATCACTCTCCGCTTCAACCTGCCCAAGGAGCGGGAGGCCATTCCCGGTGGCGAGCCCGACCAGCCGCTCTCCTCCAGCTCCTGCCTGCAACCCAACCACCGCTCCACGGTACCCTCAGCAATTCCAGGGACCTTGCTTTCTTCTCAGGTCCCACCTTCTCTACCTTCTGACCCACCTTTCTTGGTTTCTCTCTGCAGAAACGGAAGGTGGAGGTGGTCTCCCCAGCAACTCCAGTGCCCAGCGAGACGGCTCCAGCCTCAGTTTTCCCCCAGGTGAGTCTTCAGCCCATCCCCGCCCCCCCACTTCTGCTCTCTAGCAACCGCCTTCAGGCTCATCTCACAGCTGCCTGTTCTCTTCTGTCTCACCCCCAGAATGGGTCAGCTCGTAGGGCTGTGGCAGCTCAGCCAGGTCGGAAGCGGAAATCCAATTGCTTGGGCACTGATGAGGTGGGTATGAAGGAACAGAGGAAGAGGGAAGCAGGCTGAAAGGGAGTGGACTTGGACAAGGGGAATTCAGTCCATGACTAATTTAAAAGCAAACAACGGGTAATAGGCAGTGAGGGTGTTGATGGGATTAAGAACCAGGCAGATCATAGTTTAGATTGGGTGATTTTTGCTGAGTTACTAACTGCTCAGTTGGGATTTATTTTTGAAAATGGAGATTATGGTACTGTCCCCAGTTGCTACTAGGTTTGAAGGAGGAAACCTGTGGCAGGGCTGAGTCAGTGTCCTGCTGTTAACTAGTGTCTTCCACTGGCCCTGGGCAGGACTCTCAAGACAGCTCAGATGGAATACCATCCGCACCACGCATGACTGGCAGCCTGGTGTCTGACAGGAGCCACGACGACATCGTCACCCGGATGAAGAACATTGAGTGCATCGAACTGGGCCGGCACCGCCTCAAGCCCTGGTACTTCTCCCCATACCCCCAGGAGCTCACCACGCTACCTGTCCTCTACCTGTGTGAATTCTGCCTCAAATACGGACGCAGCCTCAAGTGTCTGCAGCGTCACTTGGTATGAGGGGTTTTGGGAGGGGTTTTGGGAGGCTTCCTACTGGCACATCCTTGCCAGTTCCCACGTGACCCTCCTTTCTTCCTTAGACCAAGTGTGACCTGCGGCATCCTCCTGGCAATGAGATTTACCGGAAAGGTACCATCTCCTTCTTTGAGATTGATGGACGGAAAAACAAGGTCAGTGGCTGAGACTAGTAGAGCCTCAGATATGTCAAATGAAAGCTTTTTGCTGCTCAGAACACTGTGTGGTTACAGATCAGTTGAACCTGTTTTTATTGAATTCCTGTTGTAGAGTAGGGGCTGGGGGGGGATGCACAGATGACCAGAATTGAGCCAAACTCTGCTGAGGTCCTTGTCTGGCAGAAACAGACATGCTGAAGCTTTTCAGATTTCAGTGTGATAAGTGTCATGAAATGGGTGGGTTAACAGGTTCAAAGGAAGCTGCCATTAGGGCTTTGAGATAGTCTCTGTCTGCAATCCCACCACTGAGGCTAAGGAATGAGGATCTTGAGTTCTAGGCCAGACTGGGCTATGGCAAATTGTAGACTACAAGGCCAGTCTAAACTGCACATTGAGGTCAAAAGGTGACCTTTGAGCCTGGACATGAAGAATAAAGTTGATAAAAGGAATTCTAAGCAGTTGGGTTCAGATGTAGGCACTGCTGCCTACTAGGATACTGTATATGAAAGGCAAATGTCATGCTACTTGAAAGGTAGGATGAGGGCACTGGAGAAGTGGTACAGCATTGACTGCTCTTACAGAGGACCCAGATTTGATTCCCAGCACCCACTTGGTAGCTAATAGCCATCTGTTATTACCCATGAATATATTGCCCTCCTGTCTTCCATGGGCACTGCACAACATGGGTATACTTACATGTAGGCACAAAAAATAAAAAAAAAAATTTTTTTTTGAGACAGGGTCTCTCTGTAGCCCCAGCTGGCCTGGAACTAGACCAGGCTGGCCTTGAACTCCCAGTGATCCATCTGCCCCTACCTCCCAAGTGCTGGGACTACAGGTGTGCGCCACCACACCCAGCAAACTACTTTCTTTTAAAGGCAGGATGAGGCAGGACTATTCTAAGACAGAGGTCAGGTGACACCAAGGCCAGTACAAAGGAGGGAGGGGCAGGGTGGGTCTCTGCCTATGGGAGGAACGATGCAGAGCTGAGAATATAGCTAGGTTGGACAGCCTCCAGGTGAAGGGGAGAGGTGGGCACTTTGACTAGGGTAGGGGAGCAGTAGAGGAAAGACAGTAAGTTAAGCAGTGCTCTGCATTAAGTGTGGAGTTTGGGCAACCAAGGGTTCAGCAGGTGGTTAAAAAGCTGTCTGAAATTCCTCTTGAAAATCGTTATGTGGAGGTAAAGCAGCCAGATCTGCAATTTTACTGGAAGAATCCCAAGGCTGGTAGTTTCTTTATACCTCTGCTGGAGAACAGTAGATCAGCTGCCAGGAGACATCACCATAGACTAGAGCATTTAAGGTCTTAGCGGACTCCCAGGACAGCCACATGGGCATAGCTTCTCTCCTGAGCCTTAGAGGCTGACTTAATGGAAAAAGTTTTCTTTAAAAATATTTTAGGCCGGGCATGGTGGCACTCACCTTTAATCCCAGCACTCCGGAGGCAGAGGCAGGCGGATCTCTATGAGTTCAAGGCCAGCCTGGTCTACATAATGAGTTCCAGGACAGCTGGAGCTACAGGGAGACCCTGTCTCAAAAAGACCAAAAAAAAAAAATTTTTTTTCATTGTGTGTATGAGTGTATTGCCTGCATGCAGGTAAGTATACCCCATGTTGTACAATCCCCACAGAGGACAGATGGGCGTTGGGAGCCCCTGGAACTGGAGTTATGGATGGTTAGCCACCATGTGGGTCCTGGGAATTGAATCTGGGTCTTCTGCAAGAACAGCCAGTGCTTTTAACCGCTGAGCCATCTCTTCAGCCCTGGAGAAACTGCTTTTCAAAGACAGGGTCTTACTATGCAGCACTAACTTACCTCAAGCTTGCCTGCCTCTGTTTCCCAAGTGCTGAATTACAGAGGCATATAATAGACTACCACACCTGGCTTGGAAAGGTTCACTGCTGCTAAGTAGAGCAAAAGGCAGTGGAGGCCATAGGCTGGGCTTAGGGTAGGGGTGTGGGATGCAGGGGAAGCCTGTCCAGCTGGCAGGGAGGCAGGCAGTTAGTTGAACAGTAACATACAGGATCCTAGTCCTTACCTAAGCAGTGGTGATGCACTGACTGGTGAGGAGGGTCAGGCCCAGGGAGCCCAGCTCATCACCTAGCCACCTGGAGCAGTACAAAGTGCTCCAGGGGTCTGATGGTTCTGTGTGTAGCAGCCTTTGTCATCCAGCCTGACCACCAAGAGTTCCATTCCCAGAACCTATAGTAGAAGACAACAGACTCCCCAGAGGTGTCCTGACTTCCACATGCATGCTGTGCACACACATACCTGCACTCACACACAAGATAATAAAACTTAAAACTTTCAAACAGCACCTCAGAATGCTGACAGGCCTTTTCCTTTACAGAGTTATTCACAAAATCTGTGTCTTTTGGCCAAGTGTTTCCTCGACCACAAGACATTATACTATGATACAGACCCCTTCCTCTTCTACGTGATGACAGAGTACGACTGCAAGGGCTTCCACATTGTGGGCTACTTCTCCAAGGTCAGCACTCACCCAGGCTGTCCCTCGGGCCCTACCCTGAACCAGGCCTTCCCCCACTCACCCACTCTTCTCTTCCAGGAAAAGGAATCCACAGAGGATTACAACGTGGCATGCATCCTGACTTTGCCTCCTTACCAGCGCCGGGGCTATGGCAAGCTGCTCATTGAATTCAGTAAGTATGTACACTGCCTGACCTTCATCTGGGCCTTATATGTAGACGTGTCAGGTTGCCAATTCTCAGCCTTGCTGTGCAGCCCAGTTACCAGAAGCCTCCCAGAAACGTAGACAGGACTACCAAGGTTCTGTCCTTAGGACTTGCTCCCTGGAGTAGATTACCCAATCCATTTCTCTTTGGCTAAGGGTCTAAGTGCCACCCAGCTTTTCCCAAATTGGATTCATCTATTCCTGCCTGGAGCTCTGGGCAGCTCATTCAGGTCCTGTTGGTCACCTCTAAGCCTGTGCCATGACAAGTTCTTGGGAAAGGACCAGTGTTGTACCAGGTATCCCAAGCCTTGCAGGCAGTAGGTGTTCAAAGGTTACAGATGGATTTGTGTCCTGCTCTGTTATCAGGCCAGTCTTTTGGTCTTTTTTTAAGACAGTGTCTCTCTAGCCCCAGGCTAGCTCTATCTCATAGAGACCTGCTTGTCTCTGCCTCCCAAGTGCTGGGATTAAAGACATGTACCACTACTACCTGGCTAAGCCAGTCTTTTCAAGAACCCCAGAAGGGCTTCACTCCCTTCTTACAAATGGACTCTTCAGTGCTCCCCAATCCTGAAACCACGTTCTTGCTTCCTAGCCTGAGCCCATCCTTTCACTTGCCATCTCTGGACCCTTGAAATAACCAAGCTCTGACCTGGGGGTCAGGGAAGATGTTGTGACTGTTTCCTAGTGAAGATACAGATGCTTGGCTTGCTTGACCTTATGGTCTGTGTGAAACATTTTATTGACTGAATGGTTCCAGGATGAGAATCACACTCTTCAAGAACTCAGCCTGGTGGAGCAGGGAGACACATAAGAAAACTCAAAGGACTTCTGTTATGAGCAGGGCCGCCAAGGTGTGCTCACTTCTGCCCCAGGCACAGAAATGCCATTAGACAGCCCATGGGGGGGGGGGGGGGGAGATAGGCATTCACTGAAGAGGGGCCAGGAACTCAAAACAATAGAGGCAAATCCAGTGGATTTACAGGATGGTGTGTGATGCAGATCCAGCAGAGTTGAGTAGAACCCTATCACGCCCCCTTCCCCTTCTTGGCTTCCCTTCCAGACGCCAATCTCTTTGGACCTCTTATCCTAGGGTGTCTGGCTGAAGGCAAAGGAACAGAACAAAGGGGCTCTGAGTGGCCAACAGATGTAGCAAGAACCAGAAAGCAGAAAGTCAGGGTCCATTATGAAGCCCATATAACTTGAAGGGCTTCTACAAAATAGCAGACAGCTCCAGGGCCCTGACAAGAGTATACAGTAGTCTGCACAAGCAGAAGGACCACACATGACAGCTCCCTGGCTGAGGAAGCACCTCTGTACCCGAACACCCTCAGCCACCCCAGCCCCCATAGGTTAGAGCAATTGACGTTCCCAGGCCATAGTTAGGAAAACAGATTCCACTGAGTGTTCCCGCATCCTCAGACCTAGGCCAGATGGTTGCCTCAACACAGGCTGGGATGGCAGAAGTGTGGCACTCCATCCTGCCAGCTCTCGCTGGCTAAGCACCTGCCTGTGGTTGCTGCTCTTGGTGCCCTCAGCTCCCTCACCTGCTTACCAAGCCCATGAGAGGAGCAGAGAAGCTACACACTACCAAGTGTGATGGAGGGACAAAAAGAGAGCTAGGCAGCCTAGCTCTGTAGTCCCTCTTACATGCTGCTGTGCACACTGGTGATACTTACTCACCCTCTCCTGCTCCATTGCTTTAGGCTACGAACTCTCTAAAGTAGAAGGAAAGACAGGGACTCCGGAGAAGCCCCTGTCAGATCTTGGCCTTCTGTCCTATCGAAGTTACTGGTCCCAGACCATCTTGGAGATCCTGATGGGTCTGAAGTCGGAGAGCGGGGAGAGGCCACAGATCACTATCAAGTGAGCATGACTGTGCCTACCTGGGGGGTGGGCAGGCATGGCATGGCCTGTTCTTGGGGCTCCTGGGGGCAGATGAAGTTCCTCAGGAGACCTGACTTTTGCCCTCCCACAGCGAGATCAGCGAAATAACCAGCATCAAGAAAGAGGATGTCATCTCCACCCTGCAGTATCTCAATCTCATCAATTACTACAAGGTTAGGAAGCATGCGGAGGGACAGCAAGAGGGGGTACAGGTTGCAGGTCTTGTGTCCTGACCACATGCTGGGTCTATCTCTTACCCAGGGCCAGTATATCCTCACTCTGTCAGAGGACATCGTGGATGGGCATGAGCGAGCTATGCTCAAGCGACTGCTTCGAATTGACTCCAAGTGTCTGCACTTCACTCCCAAGGACTGGAGCAAGAGAGGAAAGTGGTGACCAGGCACTGCCCACTACAGCACCAAGAACTGGCTGAACTGGGGCTGACACTGTTCTAAACCCACTTGAGCTCCCAAGAGAGACCAGGGAGACAAGACTGAGGACAGCTCCAAAAGGAGAACCCTGGGAGGAGCCACCTAGTGCCAAGGCGAGCTCAGGGCAAGGTCAGCTCCAAGGTCAGCTGGCTAATAGGCCCAGATCCGCTCTGAACCCAGGGACCAGGTGGGAGCCAGGCAGCTGTGTACAGTAAGACATAGGTGGGGCACTCTGTACAGGACTGGTGATTGTAAAAAGTTCTTTTTGTAAAGTAGGAGCTGGGGCATGGGGTGGGTGCTGGTTGCAAATTCTGGTCCCTCTTGCCCCCAGCAATAAACTTTCTACAGGCAGAACTACCAAAGGTTCTTGTAGGGGAGGGGACCCACCGACTCACAGGTGCTGTGAAGAGCTCATTTATTGGGGTAGTGGAAGCCGTGGCTCCAAAGTCAACACGTTGCTGGTTTACTGAAGGGACCAGTGGCTTTAATTTTCCTGCTCTGGTTCTTAGTCCTCAGGCACCTGTGCGTGAATCTGCAACAGGAGTCACCGGTACTGCGGGACTTTGAATGTACAGCGGCTGGGTGGCCTGCGTACCTGGGCAGGGACCCAGCTGCTCAAAATGACATCCCTTTCTAGAGGCCCGACGAGAGTGGTGGCAGGCTGTACTTCCCACACCCCTGGCACGGCCCGCAAGAGCCAGGCCCCATCGGCTCCAGGGAGCCTCCTGCTCTAAAGCCCCAGTCACTAGAGTCAAGATTCAGTGCGGGTGGGTGGGGGGCAGCGCCCTAAGGCCAAGGACCCGGCTGTTACTCACCGCTGCAGCGAGGCTGGGCCAGGCCAGGGCTCGGAGCACTTTGGCATCCGGGCCGGGGAGCATCTCCAAACTCCACAGGGTGAAGTGCCTGAAGCTGCCGGTGGCTCCGAGAAGGCGGTCCTGAGAAAGGCGGGCTCAGCGTCGGACAACCCGGACCCCGGCCCCGGCCCCGCGCCCGCCCACCCTCTCCCTCTGCTCACCAGGTCGCGCCTCGGCGGCCCCCCGGCAGGGCCCTGTCCCTCCTCCGTCAGCACGCACCCCGCGAGGCCCGGCGGCACGGGCACCTCCTCGCCCCTCAGACGGCGGCCACGGAACGACACCTGGAGCCCTGTGGAACGGACAAGCGGCGCCCATGAAGCCGGCCAGGCCCAGACGCTCGGAACCCTAAAGCCGGGAACCCCGACGCCCAGCCCGTGGGGCCTGCTGGGAACTCACCGTCGGCCGCGCGGCGCACGGCGGGCGTGAAGAAGCGCTGCACCGGGGCGGGGCGGCTCGCCAGGACCTCGCAGGGCAAGAGGTGCAGCGTGGCCGGCGGGGCGGCCCGCAGTGAGCCCGAACGCACGTGGATGCGCTCGCTCCCCGACGCCGCCTCTTCGCCGTGGTCCATCCTGGGCGCTACCGGGATCCGGCCAAAGCTGGCGGGTGAAGCGCGCGAGGCCTGTCGGGAGGCCGCGCACGTTCGGCACTGAGCCTTCTGGGAATCGTAGTCCCATCCAGCCGCCCTCGGCGAGCCACGCCTTAAGAAAACTCTAAGTGTGAGCGACCTCCTCTCTGGCCTCCGCCGCCTCCGGGATGGGATTTACACGCAAGATCACGTCCGGATTCTGGACAGTCTTATGGTGTTTGCTCTTGGTAAAAAACTAAAAACGGTTCCCCAAACAGTTCTGTTTATACTGGATGTCAGGCTGTTTATTTGTGATCGTGATGAGGATTGAAGGCCTTGGGCATACTAAGCAAGTGCTCTACCGCTGACAGCAAAGCGTTTCGTAAATTCATTTTAGTTGACTATATGATTTGTCGTGTAAACCTTGTGTACATGTTATTTTTACTGTACAGAAGAAATTTTGGAGTCAGATTTTCTTTTTTTAATGTTTTAAAAACATTTTTGGGCGAAGGGGCTGTGCCATTGCACCGGTGTGGAGATCAGAGAGCAACTTACGGGGATTCGATTCTTTCCTTACGTGTAGGATCTGGGGGCTTGAATTTGGGTCATTAAGCTTGGTGCAAGTAACTTTACCCTCTGAGCCATCTCACGTCCAGCCCCTATTCAGATTGTCAACATTTTCTCATGTCTTTGTTTTTTAAATTTTATGTATTTTTTATGTGTATGCGTGTATTGCCTGCATGTAGGTAAGTGCACTCGTGTCGTGCAATGTCCTCAGAGGTCAGAAGAGGCTGTTGGATCCCCCTGGGACTGGAGTTATGGACAGTTCTTAGGTGCCATGTGGGTGCTGGAATTCGAACCCAGGTCTTCTGCAAGAACAACCAGTGTTCTTAACTGCTGAGCCATCTCTCCAGCCCTCTTGTTTGTTTTTTAATATATATTATTACCTAGGCTAAGCTGGCTTTAAACTGCAGGCAATCCTCCTACCTTGTCTCCTGAGTACCGGGATTACAGGCATGAGCCATCACATCCTGCTTGTTTTGTATTTTGATTAAGTGGATTAAAGGCATGCACTACAACTGCTGGCCTACACATGAACTTTTTTTTTCTTGGTGTTTTTGAGACAGGGTCTCCTTATCAGCTCAGCTGAACTGGAACTCGATATGTAGACCAGGATGGCCTTGAACTCACAGAGATTTGCCTGCCTCTGCCTCCCAAGTGCTGGAATTAAAGGAGTGTGCCACCAGGCCCGGCCTTTATTATTTTTATTTTATGTGTGTGAGTGTATTGCCTGCATGTCTGTAAGTGCACCTGTGTCATACAATGCCCACGGAGGTCAAAAGAGGGAGTCCCTGGAATTGGAGTTATGAACGATTGTTAGAGGTCATGTGGGTGCTGGAATTGAACCTGGGTCCTCTGCAAGAGCAGTCAGTGCGCTTAACAGATGAGCCATCTCTCCAGCTCCATCTCTTTTGTTTTTTGAAATTCTTTGTGGTTTTTTGGTTCAACTCTTCTCCAGTGTTTATTAGTTGGATACCCAATTTGGATATATTCCCGTCAAGTTCTTCCATAAAACAATATATAACTAGAAATTCGGGTTAAATTGCAAAATGTAGAGATGTGAAAAGAGAAAAGCTGTCCTAGCCATCAGTGTTCTGTAGAGACGTTGGTTTTTATATTTTGATGATTTAACCAGATAACTGATGAATAATATTTGTTGTTCCTAGTGCTGTTCATTTTCTTGGATTCTCTCAAGTAGTGATGAATTTACTTCACAGTACCTTGTAATTAGTTTTTTTCTAATGGCCTTGATGTTCAATTGAACATATATTTACTGAATATCAACATTGGACAAGGCAGCTCTGTGATTGTGAAGGAGCAAATCACAAACAAAACCACTCCATAAGCCAGGCCTGGTGGTGCACACCTTTATCTCAACACTCAGAAAGCAGAGGCAGGCAGAGCTCTGTGAGATTGAGGCTAGTTTGGTCTACATAGTTAGTTCCAGGCCAGCTGGGGCTATAGAGAGACCCTGTCTGAACAAACAAACAAAAACAGCAATAAAAACAAAACAACTCCATAACCATGTCTGAACACTTGCAAGATATGAACACTGTTGCCTGTTTACTCATTATAACCTTCACCTAAGTCTACGCTCTGCCTAGTTAAGATTTTAGATATTCTATTATGGAAATACCTACCATTACTTTTGAAGGGTTGCAAATTCTGGTCCCAACTCAGAGGGACACCCTGCTTCCTTCAATACTTCCCCCAGATTGCTAAAGAAACAAAAATCTCATAAATCCTTTTTTATTTTAATTTTGGGATTTATTTTTGTTTTATGTATATGAGTGTTTTGCTTGCATGTATGTAAGTGCAGCCATGTCATGTAGTGTTCATGCAGGCCAGAAAAGGGTGTCAGAGCCCCTGTAACTGGAGTTAAGGCTGATAGCTGGCAGCCATGGGGGTGCTAGGAACCAAACCCAGGCACTCTGCAAGAACAGCCAGTGCCCTTAACCCCTGAGCCATCTCCCCAGCCCCTTCGTAAGTCCTTTCTAACACCTTTCTAAGAGGTGCCAAATGGAAAAGAAATAACTCAGTCTTGTCAATTATGGAAGTACTCTTGGTGGGCTGTGACTGGCTAATTTAGAGAAAGTCTTGCTTTAGTTCTTGATCAAGAATAAAATAGACCATGCTGACATATACCTTTAGACCCAAGTGGCAGAGGCAGAGACAGAGGCAGGCGGATCTCTGAGTCTGAGGCCAGCCTAGTCTGGTCTACATAGTGAGTTCCAAGCCAACTGGGACTATAGGGAGACCCTATCTCAAAAAGCAAAAGAATAAAATAGGCAAGATGTGATGATACAAGACTGTAATCCCGACACTCCGGTGGAGGCAGGAGGATCAAGAGTTGGAGGTTGGGGCCATTGAAATGGCTCCCTGGGTAAAGGTATGTGCCAACAAACCTGACAACCTGAAATTGATCTGGGGGACCCAGACGGTGGAAGAAGAACCGACTCCCATAAGTTGTCCTCTGACCTCCCCACACATTCATTTGCCTACAGACACACACACACACACACACACACACACACACGAGTTGAAGATCATCCTCAGCTACATAGCAATTTTTGGGGTCAACCTGGGCTTCATGAGTCTTTGTGTCAAAATAAAAAGAATTCAATTTATTCACATCTCCTTTCATGTCTGTATGTCTATTTGTATAGTAGTGAGGCTTTACTCTTAAGTTATACATTTTGTATAATGATGTATAATTATTTCTAGATAGTTTATATTTGTTTCTATTATAATTGGGTCTTCTGTTTTCTAATTTATTCTTTATGAGTATTTTGCCTGCATGTGTGTAAGTGCACCACATGCACACCTAGTGCCCCCAAGAGGCCAGAAGAGGGCATCAAATCCCCTGACACTGGAATCAGGGGAAGTTGCGAGTACTGTGCCATGTGGCTGCTGAACCCAGTAAGTTTCTAACCACTGAGCCATCTCTCCAGCCCCTTCTCATTTATTCTTAGCTATAGCCAGAATTGATGGTTTTTCTGTGAAGAGTCAGGGTAAATAGGGTTTTTAAACTATAGTTTCTATCCCAGCTACTCAACTTCTCAGTTATGGAGTAAAAACAGCCATAGATGACACCTAATGAGTGAACGTAGTTGGTTGAGTAAAATAGCATTTGTAAAAACAGACAGTGGGTTAGATCTGGCCTGTCAGCCAAAAAATCCAGACCCTTTCTATAGCAAAGATGTTGGTTTTTACTTTTTATTTTTAAATTTTTTTATTTTCTTATCTTTATTTTGTGTGCATGAATGTATTGCCTGCACGTATGTAAGTGCACCTGTGTCATGCAGTGCCTGTGGAGGTCAGATGAGAGCGTTGGATCTCTTGGAACTGGAGTTACAGACAGTTGTTAGCTGACATGTGGGTGCTGGGAATCAAACCCAGGTCTTCTGCAAGAAGTCAGTGCTGTTAACCACTGAGCCATCTCTCCATCCCTAAGATGTTGGCCTATATATTAATTTCTCCAACAGATATCTACTGCATTGTTTTGTTGCTCCTGATAATTTCCTTTTCTTTTTTGAGACGGGGTCTTCCTATAGCCCCAGCTGGCCTGGAACTCACTATGTAGACCGGGCTGGCCTTGAACTCACAGAGATCCATCTGCCTCTGCCTCCTGAGTTCTGGGACTAAA